GAATGAATGAATGAAATGAATGAATGAATGAATGAATGAATGAATGAATGAATGAATGAATGAATGAATGGAATGAATGAATGAATGGATGAATGAATGAATGAATGGAATGAATGAATGAATGGATGAATGAATGAATGAATGAATGAATGAATTGAATGAATTGAATGAATTGAATAAATTGAATGAATTGAATGAATTGAATGAATTGAATTGATTGATTGAATGAATGAATGAATGAACGAATGAATGAATGGATGAGTGAATGAATTGAATGAATTGAATGAATTGAATGAATTGAATTGAATTGATTGATTGAATGAATGAATGAATGAACGAATGAATGAACGAATGAATGAGTGAATGAATGAGTGAATGAATGAATGAATGAATGAATGAATAATTGAATGAATGAATGAATGAATGAAATGAATGAATGAATGAAATGAAATGAAATGAAATGAAAGGAAAGGAAAGGAAATGAAATGAAAGAATGAATGAATGAATGAATGAATGAACTGAAATCAATGAATTGAAATGAAGGACCTGCAATTAATGACTTGCAATGGATGACTTGAAATGAATGATTTGAAGTGAATGAATTGAATTGAATAATTTGAAGTGAATGAATTGAATTGAATGAATTGAAATGTATGAGTTGAAATGAATTGAAGTGAATGAATCGAAAATAAGGAAGTGAAATTAACGAATTGAAATGAATGATTTAAAATTAATAAGTTGAAATGAATGAATTGAAATGAATGACTTGCCAAAAGTGGTCCAAAACCCCTCAGTTTTTTACGTTTTTTTTTCTAAATGTGAAACGGAGCTCTTGCTACAGTCTCGTGCACCTTTTGCCGAGCTCATCTTCCAAAAGTGCTCCGGTCGACTCATTTTTTTAACGATTTTATGTGATCTGCTACTTGATGATGATGTGGTTGACATATGAAATCGAGCTCTCGCTACAGTCCTGTGTACATTTTGTCGACCACTTTCCCCGATCGAGCCGCGAAACCGCGGAAACAGAGACCCTCCTTTGGCGACCCCGGCAGCCACTTTACACGAAAAAATGCAGGGTTTCGCGCCCGAGAGTGTTTTCAAGCCTGAACTAATTCACTTGTTTCCGATCTCTCACACTTCCCAACTACTTTCATGATGATGTGGTTGCCATGATGATTGACCATCATGGTGAGAAAGCTAGCCATGACAAGCGTTCGTAACCTGGAAGTTTCCTAACTAAACTTCTTTTCACCAAGTGTATATGATAATGTAAGTTTTGCATTGTTGCATTTGTTTACATGTTGTATCATTTTGTTACAAACCTTTGTATGTAGAGTAAGGGTCACCATGGTTAGAACTTGGTACTTGTAAGTCCCCCAAGTGTGTAAAATCACGTATAATTAATCCATAACAAGTATCTTGCTTTAAGACATCCCAGAAAACTAGCGCATTGTCAACCATTCCCAGCATTTGGGTGACAAACTTGGATTGATCATCATCTATCAACCCACTAAAATCCCGCTAGAATAGTGATACATGATACATGCGTTTTTTTAATCTAAAAATGGGGGGGTTCAATACACAACCCCTATTGATGCTCATACACTGCAAACAATAAACATCAATAAACTACTGTATGATATGAGGCCGCTACGCCCAATGAAAGCTATTCTTTTTGGGGTTACTATACATTTTGGGCCCACTGCAGCCCGCCAGCCAGGTACCTGTGGCGCGTGGAGAACAAGCAGACCACCTACGCCAAGCAGCTGTCTCAGTACGAGCAGGCGCCGTGGCAGCGAAAACAGGCACAGAAGGCATGGGAAATGATAGGGAAAACAAGTGAAGATGATGAACATGTTTTAGGGAGCAGTACTATAAATATATATATATACGTAGTTATTTTTAGTTCAGGTGATCCATGATATTTTTTTACACAATGTAAGAAAACATACCCAACTTGCTCAGATTCTGAGGAGCTAGTTGGTTATGGCTACCAAATGCCACACCTTGGAAAAACACATCAACCAGTGTATGTCGGCTATACATTTATAATATTTTTTCGCATATACATTATAATTTCAATGCGTATACATATACATATGTACGTAATATGTTTATATACATATAAATTTATACACGCATAATTATGCATATATGTCATGTGCATACACATAATCTACACACGAATCAAACACCCAAATTTCGGGTTCAGAGTTGACTGAATCAGACATGCAACCATGTGTCAACCACACTAGGATATTTATGTGTATATGTATGTAATGTATATATAATTATATATATATATATATTATATATGTATGTGTATGTGTATATGTATTTATATATATATATACATGCACAGGGGAGAGAGAGAGAGAGAGAGAGAGAGAGAGAGAGACAGAGAGAGAGAGACAGAGAGAGAGAGAGAGAAAGAGAGGGAAAAAGAAATTGCCGTAGCAAAAAAAAAACTCGATATATATATATATATATTTGTTCATTTATCCAATCGCACAGGTATGTATAGTGAACATGCTCCAAAAGACCTTAGTTCCTGAGTTTTTCTTTCTGTAATAAGTGACAATTAGAACCTAACCACACTCACCTCTTGTTCCACCTGATAATTGGCGATACCTCCCCATTGAGTTCCATTGTGAACGTCCCATTTTCCCGGAAAACATTGAAGGCATCCGAGAAACGGGACGGTCCCTGAAATGGACACATTCCTTGGGATTTTCCATGATTTTCCATTGCCCGCTTTGACGTCGATCAAAAGCCTACCCCTGGTTCCAGACATAGCTCTTACTTATGGATGCTAGCCCCTTGTTTACCTGTCGGTGTCATTTCATCAGCTCCATGGCTGGACAATCGCCCAGCTATAATGGTCCAGTGGAAAACCAATGATTTTGTTTTTATAAATGGAGGTTTATAGTAACCTTTTAAAGGAATATAAGTGGATGGAGTTCCCAGCCGTGGAGCTGATGACACCAAAGGGCATCAACCAATATTCCATCAATATTCCATTAGTATATACCTGGAATACCATTATAAACCCATGAGTTACTATTCCATCAATATATATATATATCATTATCATTATTTAGTATTATTATACCTTTATAAAGCCATTAGTTAGTACATATTCCATCAGAATATATAAATTATATACCCTTAATATCCCCATGATACCCATCTTTCCCTGCAGGAGAT